CAGAGATACAGTGCCGTGTCTCCTGGTTCCGAGGACGGGATCTCCAGGCTGCAAGGTAGGTTCTTGCGGCATTGAGATGAGAACCGCTTCTTGTGCAGCTCCGTTTCTTGAAGAACCTGTTCATCCTGAAAGGAAATCAAAAATGTAAACTCTTTATTCTGATTCTGTTGATACCAATAAACATAAGTATGTCCTTTTTCGGGGGTACAATCCATCTTTGTTTTCTGTCCTTTTCCTTTGACCAAATATCCTGGAGTCTGTGTGACTTCGGCATGAAAAGAGCCTGTAAGAGAAAGAAACAGATGCTGTAGAAAGAGTCCAGGAGAGAGCTTAACAAACAAAACAAAACAAAAGCTTGGATTTGGGGGTTGGCAAGCCGAGGACAAGGATTTTTCTTTTGTGCTCGGGGCGCACCTGCTGCCAGGAGACACAGGGCTGCACAGCTGAGGAGCCTGGTGCCCATGGTCACACTGACATTGCAAAGGGATGAGGCTTTTTTATGCCTTCTCTGCACCTTTTTGACGTGATCCCTCCGCAGACTTATAATCATCATGTTATTGCTTCATGTTCCTGAGCAAAAACACTTTATGGTATTGGGGAAAAAAGCTTTTATCCTAACTCAGTAAATATAACTAAGTTATTTTGTATTCATTTAAAAATACTTTATGTCTGTTTTTGCTAATATAAGCAATGCACTGATATTTTAGAACGTTAGAAAATAAAATAACAAAATAAAAATATGATGCCACTGCCGGAAAGCAATTATCACTGTTAACACCTTAGTGCGGGTCTTTCTAGATCCCTCTCTCCCTCCATATATAAATGTGCAGATATATAGACACATTATTTTTTATAAGCAATATTCTTGAAATTCTGTTTGATAAGCTTTTTTCAGTTAATGATCATCATCCTTTCTCATCAATGCATTTTCATCTTATCTACTATTTAGTTTTTATGCAAAGTTTCACAGTTGTTTCAAAAATGTCCTTTGCCATTAATTTGAGCATCAGTTTCTAACTCAAGACTGGGCATTCCTTCTGGCTATTAATTATCTAATTATCTTTTTGTATAATACATAACTATGTTGTAATTACTATCTTTATGATTCTGAAACTAGGCACTGCTTTGAAAAATACTTCACTTTCTAGCTCTTTCTGGTGTATTTTAGCTTGTTCATTTACTAATGTTTCTTTTAGATAACCTCCCTTTTTTGCTTTTTCTCTCTGTAACTATTTTAAATAGTGTATTTTTTGATGATTTTTTTTTCACTTTTTTCTTCCTCCATCTCATCCTCATTTCAGGTAAGTAATGTTAACAGCTTAATGTATATCTTTCCATAGATTTCTCCTTATTTGTTTAATTGTTCAGTGAGGTTGTTTTCTCCACATTACAAAATTGACTTTGAATATATAGATAATAACTTGATAACATACCAAAGAATGATCACTTAAAAAAACAACTTGGCACAGGAAATAAAATATTACCAGAACATTTGAAAGCTCTTATTTCTCTTCCCAGATTCCATGCCTCTGTTCTCTAACTCTATTGAGGTGTTTGTTTTTGTAATTATTTGCTTCTCTTTTATATTTTAATACATAGCCACAAAAGCAAACAAAATAGTGTTTAGTTTTACACGTTTTCAAACTTTACGCAAATGAGACAATGCTGTACTTTTCTTCTGCAGTGTAATTTTTCATTCAAATTTGTGAAATTCATTCATATTTGTGTGTTTAATTTTAGTTCATGAATTTTCACTACTGAGTAATTTCTTTATAATGACCGGGATTTATTCTTCTGTTAAGTTACATTTGGATATTTTATACATTTTTTGCTATTACAGATGTATTACAGTGAATATTCTTGTCCTGATTTTTGTAGAAGGGTTTCTCTAGAAAAGCCTTTCTCAAGGGTGGAATTGATGGATAGTGGGTACATACACCTTGAACTTTACTAGATAATGCCAAATTGTTTTCCAACATGGATCCACCTGTATACACTCTAGCCAGTGATGCAGAGAGTTCTTGTTGACACTTTGCCTTGCCAACACTCAATAGATTACTATTTTTATCATTGTAGCCATTCTTGTGGATATATATTTCATAGGACTCAATTTCTATTTCCCTGATTATTAAATTTAGCAACATTTACATGTTTAATGACCAGTGAGATTTTGCTAGGTGCTTATGGTTTTCACTCACTTTTTCTGTTGACACTTACCTTTTTCTCATTGATCTGTAGAAAAATTAGTTTGTAGGTTTTTAAAAAATAAATTATATATATTAGCTTTTCTTGAATATATAAATATAGATAGAGATATTAGTTTGGTGTAAATATATATATATATTTAATGATATGTCACTATACAGTCAATCCTGTCACTCTTATATAATTAACTTTGATAAATTCAATATCTTAATTTGTATATAGTGATTTTTATCAATCTGTTCCCTACTGATTGAGGGAATAAGAAATCTTTCCCTTCTTTAAGGCCATGAAGATGTGCTCTTATATTATACAGTATTCTAGAAGTCTTGTGACTTTATTACAATTATGCTTTTAATAGAGCTGGGATTGATTTTGGCTATGTATTGAGATGTGTCCCATTGCACTTGTTTTTCTTTGTATAGATACCCAATTTTCCCATCAGCATTTGTTGAAAGATATATTCTTTGATTATTGCAGTACCATTGCTGTGTGTTTATGCATGTGTATTTTTTCCCTTGGATCTATTTATATATCAGTGCCCCCATATTACACCACTTTTATTATTGTGGTTTTGTAATAATTCTTCATGTTTGTTATATTTAGTCCTCTCACTTGAAGCTTCTACTTCAGTGCCTCAGCTATTCTTTTATCCTTTGCAGCTATTCTTTTATCCTGTCCTTTATCCACTGGTAGGCAGACTCGTGCAACTTCATTCACGGAGGCTTTTCATTTCCTACTTTGGTGATTTCTTGGAATCTTAGCTAAGTCTTATGTCTTCCCAAAAGGAACTTCAATGGAAAAGGTTCTGTTCACCTCAGTAAACTAACATATAACATTTTACTGACTATTCCCTGTTACCCAAGAAGTGTTTGTGGCTTCTTCTGCCTGGGTTACCTTTATTTTTTTCCCTAATTTTCTTAGAAATGTCAAATACTAGACAAAACAAAACCCTCACTCTCTCCCTCTTCTGTTTTTACATCCCATGTTCTAATCACTCCTCACTCTCAGGCTTCTTTAATCTCCATAAGGAATCAGAATACCACAGTCTTAATTTCCATGCATTTTATCTCTGTGATCTAAATCTATATTTTGGTGGAATTTTCTGTCCCCATACTTCAATTATTTACATGCTGAAATCTGCAGAATCTCAACCTCTAGTCCAGCTTTATGGTTTCTCAATTTCACGTCTTGTCTATGCAGTTGCCTACTTCTAGTTTTTATCTCATTGTTCCATAGACAGTTGAACCCTATTACCCCAAATGGGAACTGCCACTGCTAACATGATTTCATATTGTTTGAAATTGTGCCCTTTGTAAATGATCACAGTTATATGAGGAAAACTGAAAAATTGTATCGTTTGCTTGTCTGCTGATGACAATCAAGCTTCAGCTCTCTCTTTTGAGCAACAGCCTACAAAGGACTTTCATACTTATTATATTCATGGAACCAAGAATTCAACTTTTTCAAATCTCCTTTCTGTCTACTTCCTCAAATGTATTCCATTTCTTCTGATTCATGTAAATTGATCATCTTGTTTCTCTTTGTAAACTGTTCCCCGAAGTGTCACACTCTTTAATATGCCTTTGCAAAAGTTGTTCTCTTTGCCCAGAATGCCCTATTCAGAACCAGGTCTATCTGGTGAAGTTCTAATGTGACTTCCTCTTTGCTTTTTCTGATTCAATCAGACAGAATTGCGCATGTCCTCCCTTAAGCTCCCAAATGATTTCGGATTATAGTAATATATATTGTATTTTCCATTCTATTGTAATTACTTTCTTGCTAAACTCTTAGCTCCTTGGATAAAGGATCTATTTTCTTTTCAGTTTTGTATCTTTTATATTTCCAAAAGTAACAGGACATAGTAAAATCTCATGAAAATATTAAAAATGAAAAAATTAAGCTAGAGGATACGGTGGGGACTGTAGGACTAGGACACATTTCCGCACAGAGAGACAATGGCTGCGCTTCCGCTGTGGTGCGCTCCCAGGACAGAAGTACAAAGCTGTTTGGCTGGTGTGGGCCAACTTCATCATGAGAAGAAACAGGCCCTTCTCCTCCCAGGAGACACTGTAGCCTTCAGTTAGGTCTCCTCTCTGAATATCCTTTTCAACCCTTGCGTAATAGATCAGTCTCAGATTTTGCTTTGGGTCCTG